AGCAGACAGAGATTAGGTACCTCTGCCTGTGCAAAAATAAGCTCTCCTCTAGTCACTTTGTATTTTTTCCTTATAAAACAGAAGGATACCTACACCTAGGACCCAGGACCCAGGACAATGGAACTAGAACCTCTGGCTAGTAGAGAGCAATCTCTAGACAGGGAGACAATGGAGCTGAGCACTCCTAGCTCCCCTGACCCTCTAGGAGAGATGTACCTACCTACACCCACTCCTATGCCTCTACCTCAGCATCTATCGACGCCTCTACCTCCACCTACAGCTATACCTCTAAGCTCTACCTTACCAAGGCCTACTGCCTCTTCTAAACGACCTGCGAGTAGACCTGCTACCCCCCCTAGGCCTAGACTTCCACCTTTCCAATTTAATGCAGCTACTAGACCTGTTGCCCAGGCACCTATTGCTAAGACAGTAAAAGAAGCACTAGCTATTGCTAGAACAATGGTTATTTAAGCCTCCTCTCTTGCTACCTCTAGCAAAGAACAATCCAACATCCTAGACCTCTTAGAAATCTTTAGAGACTACACAGAAAACAACAGACTAAACAAACAAGGCCTCTCTATCCTAGCCTCTTAAGTCTCTAACCTAGAAGCAGTATCAAAAACAATTAAAGCAAGAGTTAGACTTTTGCAAAAGCCACTCTCTTCTACTGCTGCTCCTTCTTCTACCCAGCCTAGCTCTTCTACAACAACAAGAACACAGACCACCTCTCTACCTACTTCCTACGCCTCTGCAGCTGCAAGCAACCTACCTAAGGAAACAGAGTGGCAAACAGTTACTAAGAGTAAACCTACTACTACCTCTCCAAAGAACTCTCTTAGTACTCGCCAGCTAGTTCTTACACAAGAACAAGAACCTCTAGCTTTTGCTCCTCTTGAAATACGCAACGCCTTTAACTTAGCCTTTGCAGAGAAAGGAGTAAAATCACCAGTTATCGCCTCTGCTACGCTAAGCCTAAGAAAGAATATTGTGCTTACTACTACACCTACCTTTACTGCAAAATACCTACTTAAAAATCAAATAATCTAGCAATCTATTATTGCATATAAGGAAGCCCTCCCTATAGAGCCCTGGCACAAAGCAATCCTACACAATATCCCTACATCTCTTGCAACAAACTAAGACCTGCAGGTGCTAAAGACAGAAATTGCTACCTTTAATAGAGGCCTAACTATTGTTGGACACCTATTCTAGATAACAAGTAGAGATAAAAGACAGAGACAGCAACTAGGCTCTGCCTGTGTAGCATTTTCTACAGAGAAGGAAGCACAACAGGCTATTAGAAACAGACTATACCTGCTTGGAGCTAGCATTAAAGCAGAAAGATTTATTGCTACACCCCCTTCTACACAATGCCAAAACTGCCAGCGCTACGGCCACACAGAGACTAGGTGCCTCTATAGCACTACCTGTAAA